TAGCACTGAAATTTTTGTTGTTGTTGTTCATCTAAAAATGACTTCATTTAATACTTCAATTTTGAAAGATAGTTTTGAAGGACATAGAATTATTGGTCTCAGTTTTTGTTTTGTTTTGTTTTCTTTTTATTACACTTTAGGTTCTGGGGAACCTGCAGGATTCTTGCATAGGCAAATACATGGCAATGTGGTTTGTGGCCTCTATCCTCCCGTCACATATATCTGACATTTTCCCCCACGTTATCCCTCCCCAAATTCCCTACCCCTCACTGTCTTTCCCCTATTCCCCCCCAGTGGACCCCAGTGTGTGATGCTCCACTCCCGTGTCCATGTGTTCTCATTGTTGAACACTCGCCTATGAGAATATGCGTTGTTTGATTTTCTGTTCTTGTGTCAGTTTGCTGAGAATGATGGTTTCCAGGTTCATCCATGTCCCTACAAAGGACATGAACTCACTGTTTTTTAGAAAAGCCAGCTCCTGGATTTATTGATTTTTTGAAGGATTTTTTGTGTCTCTATCTCCTTCAGTTCTGCTCTGATCTTAGTTATTTCTTGTCCTCTGCTAGGTTTTGAGTTTTTTTGGTCTTACACCTCCAGCTTTTTCAATTTTGTTGATAGGGTATCAATTTTAGATCTTTTCATGCTTCTCATGTGGTCATTCATTGCTATATATTTTCCTCTAGACATTGATTTAAATGTGTCCCAGAGATTCTGGTATGTTTTGTCTTCATTGTCATTGGTTTCGAAGAACATCTTTTTTCTGCCTTCCTTTCGTTGTTTATCCCATCAACATTCAAGAGCCAGTTGTTAAATTTCCATGAAGCTGTGCGGTTCTGAGTTAGTTTCTCGATCCTGAGTTCTAACTTTATTGCACTGTGGTCAGAGAGACTGTTTGTTATGATTTCTGTTCTTTTGCATTTGCTGAGGAGTTAATTACTTCCAATTATGTGGTCAATTTTAGAGTAGGTGTGATGTGGTGCTGAGAAGAATGTATATTCTGTGGATTTGGAGTGCAGAGTTCTATAAATGTCTATTGGGTTTGCTTGGTCCAGGTCTGAGTTCAAGTCCTGGATATCCTTGTTAATTTTCTGTCTCGTTGATCTGTCTAATATTGACATTGGGGTGTTAAAGTCTCCCACTATTATTGTGTGGGAGTCTAGGTCTCTTTGTAAGTCATTAAGAACTTGCCTTATGCATCTGGGTGCTCCTCTATTGGGTGCATATATATTTAGGATCATTAGCTCTTCTTGTTGCATTGATCCTTTTAGCGTTATGTAATGTCCTTCTTTGTATCTTTTGATCTTTCTTGGTTTAAAATCTATTTTATCTGAGATGAGAATTGCAACTCCTGCTTTTTTTCCTCTCCATTTGCTTGGTAAATCTTCCTTCATCCCTTTATTTTGAGCCTTTGTGTATCCTTGCATGTGAGATGGGTTTCCTGGAAACAGTACACTGATGGGTTTTGGCTTTTTATCCAATTTGCCAATCAGTGTCTTTTGATTGGGGCATTTAGTCCATTTACATTTAGGGTTAATATTGTTATGTGTGAATTTGATATTGCCATTTTGATGCTACCTGGTTGTTTTGCCCATTAGTTGATGCAGTTTCTTCATTGTATCAATATTCTTTACCATTTGGTACATTTTGGAGTGGCTGATACTGGTTGTTCCTTTCAATGTTTCGGGCCTCTTTCTGGGGCTCTTGTAAAGCAGGCCTGGTGGTGATGAAATCTCTGAGTACCTGCTTGTTCGTAAAGGATTTTATTTCTCCTTCACTTATGAAGCTTAATTTCGCTGGATATGAAATTCTGGGTTGAAAGTTCTTTTCTTTAAGGATGTTGAATATTGGCCCCCACTCTCTTCTGGCTTGTAGGGTTTCTGCTGAAAGATCTGCTGTGAGTCTGATGGGCTTCCCTTTGTTGGTAACCCAACTTTTCTCTCTGGCTGCCCTTAGCATTTTCTCCTTCATTTCAACCCTGGTGAATCTGATGATTATGTGCCTTGGGGTTGCTCTTCTTGACGAATATCTTTGTGGTGTTCTCTGTATTTCCTGGACTTGAATATTGGCCTGCCTTGCTAGGTTGGGGAAGCTTTCCTGTGTAATATCCTGAAGAGTATTTTCCAGCTTGAATTGATTCTCTCCGTCACATTCAAGTACACCTATCAAACGTAGATTAGGTCTTTTCACATAGTCCCACATTTCTTGGAGACTTTGTTCATTCTTTTTTACCCTTTTTCCTCTAATCTTGCCTTCTCATTTTATTTGATTGAGTTGATCTTCTACNGTCAATTCTGCTGTTGAAACTTATTTATGCTTCACGAAGTTATCATGTTGTGTTTTTCAGATCCATCAATTCACTTATATTCCTCTCTAAGTTGTCCATTCTCATTAGCATTTCGTCAAATCTTTTTTCAAGATTCTTAGTTTCTTTGCATTGGTTTAGAACATGTTCTTTTACCTCACAGAAGTTTCTTATTACACACCTTCTGAAGCCTGATTTTGTCAATTCATCACACTCATTCTCCATCTAGCCTTGTTCCCTTGCTGGTGAGGAGTTATGATCCCTTGTAGGAGGAGAGGTGTTCTGATTTCAGGTGTTTTCATCCTTTTTGCACTGGTTTCTTCCCATCTTTGTACATTTATCCACCTGTCATCTTTGTAGTTGTTGACTTTCAGATTGGGTCTCTGAGTGGACGTCCAGTTTGTGGATGATTAAGTTATTTCTTTCTGTTTCTTAGTTTTCCTTCTACCAGTCAGGTCCCTCTGCTGTAGGACTGCTGAGGTCCACTCCAGGCCCTGCTTGCCTGGGGATCACATGCAGCAGCTGCAGAACAGTAAGTGTTGCTGCCAGTTTCTTCTGCTATCTTTGTCCCTGAAGGAAAACCACCTGATGTCAGTCTGAGCTCTGATTTGGACTTAAGGGGGTCAGGAAGCTGCTTGAGGAGACAGTCTGTCCTTTATAGGAGCTCAAGGGCTGAGCTGTGAGCTCTGTTGTTCATTCAGAGTTGCTATGCAGGTACGTGTAAGTCTGCTGCAGCTGAACTCATAAATCCCCTTTTTGTCCCAGGGAGTTAGGGCTTTATTTATGAGTTTCTGTTGTGCTGCTGCCCTTTTTCAGGGCTGCCCTTCCCAGCGAGGAGGCAGCCTAGTCACTGTCTGCCTGCAGAGGCCGTGGGCTCCCCTCTAGCTGCCGTGTGAACTTCCCTGCAGTCCTGTTTATACGAGTGTAGTTAGAACTTCCTCGGCAATGATGGCCCACCTCTGTAATGGCTAACTCTCTCTGTAATGGCAAGCTGCCTAGCAATGGCAGACTACCTCCATAGTGGTGGAGTGCCTCAGTAATGGCGGACACCATTCCCCCACACAGCTGGACCCTCCTGGGTTCAGCTGTGCTTGCTGTGAAACTCTCAATCCAGAGTGTTTCAGATTCCTGTTTTTCTGTGGGGGTGGGACCAGCCGAGCCTGATCACCTGGCTCCCTGCCTCAGAGCCCTTTTTTTTTTTTGTCTCCCAGGTGTTCCAGTTGCCTGTTGTAAAGGCACCGGGATCTGTGTGATTTCCCATGTGGCGACCCACTGCACCAGCTGAAACAGCTGTGCTGAGATTCGTGGTGCTTTTTTGCCTGGGAATCTCCTGGCCTGGCTCCCTGTTTCAGTCCCCTTTTCTATGAGTTGAATGGGCTACTCCTTCTTCCCTGAGCTCCAATCAACAGCTAAAATGGTGCCCGGACCCGTGTATCTTGTACGGAGAACTGCTGCACCAGGGCATCAGCCAAAACAGCTGCTCTGGCTGAAACAGCCTTGCCAGCCCACCAGCTGAAACAGCTGCTCTGGCTGAAACAGCCGCGCCAGCCAAAACAGCCGCGCTGGCTACACGTGGGGCTCCTCCGGGGAGCCCTGGTCTGTGGGAATCTCCTGGTCTGTGGGCAATAAAATCCGTCTGAAAATGCTGTGTCTACTCACCCTCCACACTTTCGCTGGGAGCTGCAATCCTGAGCTGCTCCTAATCGGCCACCTTGGATCTGTCCCTCCCTTTGGTTCTTGATACAAGTAGCTCCTGCATGGCAGCTAGAGATACAGTTTACCACGTTTATTTTTCCACTTTCCTCTTCGTTTATTTCCAGTTCAAAATATTTAATCAATATGCTATTTTGATGTCTAATAGGACCTTCAAACATTATATACTGAAAACAGAACTCCTTAATTTTTCTATCAATTGTCTTTCCTCCAGACTTCTACATCCCAGCAAATAACATTATTTTTCATCTGCTTTCCCAAGTCCTTTCAATACTCCTCCAAAATGCATCTTAAATTGGCCCACTTAACTCTCCATTACCATCATTCTAACATCAGACCTTAGCATCTTTTATCTGGTTTGTTGCAATCCCTCCAAGTAGGCTCCTTATTCTATTCTTCTCTGATATATCCTCCACAAGCAGCCCAAATAAACATTTTAAATAAGAACCACATTATGTTACTTCCCTGCTTAATGCAGTTTAAAGCTGCTACATTGTTTTTAGTGTACAATTCAAACTCTTACGTGGGTCATAAAGTTCAGCATAATCAGAATCACATGTCTCTTCAATCTCAGCTTGCATCACCCTTCTCATCTCTCAGTCATACTGGCTGGCACCCCAGTTTTCAAACACTTTCGTTTACCCACAACTTGGAAAAGAAGTACGTTTGCATGCTGGAGAGTACAGGTAGGTTATCCCAAAGTTCTGATCACAGACACAGTGATGGTCACATCCTCTGTTCCCAGTTATCATGTCAGAGGATGTGACCCCAGCCCACAAGATGAGAAGAACTCTGGCTTGGCCAACTCTGGTTTTAAAGGTTGGAGAGATGTAGTTGCTCCTATTGTTGGAACAAATGAAAATGTTTCACAGATTATTAACTTTTAGCAGTTGAAGATTTTTAGATTGAAAGATTGCTGGGAAAGACAACACCATTTGATTAACAGTATGAACTTTTTCTTTGTAATGTTCAACTAGAGTATGAGTTGGCAAACATTTTTCCTAAAGCTCAACACAGTAAATATTTTAAGCTTTATGGAGTAGGTAGTATCTGTTGCAGCCACTCAACTCTAGTGCAAAATTGACCATTAAAAATATGTTAGTAAATGGGTGTGGCTATGTATGGATAAAACTTTATGAACACAGAAGTTTGGATTTCGTATAACTCTCCTCTGTCATGAAATATTACTCTTCTTTTGACATTTTTCCAATTATTCTAAAACAGCAAAAAACTGTTCTTATCTTGCAGGCCATATCAAACAGGTGCTGGGCCAAATCTGGACTCCCTGGGGCCACAGAGCTTCATCTGAACTAAGTAGAATACTTCTTTGGTTAGGTCTTCTGTAGTCTTTAAGGCTATGAGGTAGGCTGGAACAGGCTTGCTTTTCTCCTGGAACTCTGAAACTCTAACATATTCCAGGATAGTGGTGTTGTTGGCAATCTGTGGTACTAGTGTATCCCAGTGCATCTCAGAATGAGACCCCAGTCTTTAATTCAGACTGTAAAGTTACCACCCCAAGCCAGAGCCAAGAAAGTTTTCTCTGGTTGTCCACTTTTCCCCACCCTGAGTTAGCCAGAGGATGAGAGTACCGCCTTCTATCTACCCCCAGCTGACATAATTTTAGTTGAGAGTGAACAAGAAAACTTATTTGGGCAGTGTTTTCAACAAGACTGTAGGGAATGGAGAACCAGGGATTTCCTGTATTCTGCCTCCCATAACTATCTGGAGCTTAAGAAAATGTTGAAAGAAGCATTTTATAGCAAAAGGAGCATATTCTTGGGCCATATATAGGGTTGGCTTTAAAACTACCAGAATTACCTCTCATTGTGAATCCAGAGCAAATTGTGCCAGCCCTCTGAACTTCCATGTCTTTATGTCTGACGTGAGTGTAGTAATGCCCACCAAGGCTTCAAGGACCTTAGGTATAGTGTGAGCCAGGTTAATGACTTCACTCCATCTTGCAATAGGCATAATTATCAGTTGCCTAAATCTGCACAAAATACTATTCTTAAAAACAAATCAGACATAGTCTTTGTGTTCATAACAAAGAAGATAAAATTAAGTAAATATTAAGAATAAAATAAGAAGTGTTGTGACAGAAGAAAAATAGGCAGCTCTGAGAACATGTGCCAGGAAGGCCAACTGCTCTAAGGAGCCAGGGAAGGTGCTTAAGGTGAAGCCTTGAGAAAAAGAGGTAATTTAGTCTTGGCCCAGTGAGACAAGGGACATATGTGAGGTTGTGGGGGCCTTGGAACACTTAGCAAATATTCACATCTTACAATGTTTTCAGCATCTCCAGATCCAGCTTATATTTTTTAAGAGAGGAAGAAAGGGTAGGTTGTAATACTACTAAAACTAAAGTTAACCAGCCATGGGTTTCTGGGGGATTACTTCCTCTTTCTTCTAAAGTAGAATAAAATTAAGTTGTAGGGGGAAAAGAGCTTTGCTGTTTTCAGTAACAGGGAGAGGGTTAACATTTAGCTTGTCAAGGATTCATTTCCTTTAGGCTTCTAAAAAGTTTGCAATTCAGGAATATTGATCTCTCTAAAGTAGAATGTTGGCTTTTAGTAAGCAATAAAAGAAAAGCATAAACAATCTCTTACCTGCCAAAGAATTTTGTTTTATTATCTAAGCACCCCATGCCTCTGTGAAGGCTCCAGGCTGGGCCGTTCATCAGTGCCTCCAGCAGGAATAGTGAAATACTTGGGGGGAAGAAAGAAAAAACAACATGCCTTACCAATAAGGCATCGGAAATTTTTGATTTTTATTTTATGACTTCCAGTATTAATAATTCTAATTTTTCTAGCCAAATAAATTTGAAACAACAGAATATAATGTCTTTAGAAATAATTAATGTTAATATGTTCTAAATAATTTTACGTATTTATTCTCCTTTTTTTGCCACTTCTGTTACCTCCACCCTCAAAGAGAAGCAAACATGTGCCTTATTTGGTCATGTAGCCAGAGTCTCTTCCCTTAATCTCAATGCATTCGAGTAGCTTTCTAACATTTCTAATCACATTCATACTAAACCTTTAACCACCCAATTCACACTGTTTCTACATAACCTAGTGCTTCACCAACACTGATTTCCAGACCCTTAAGGAGTGATCTTGAATGATGATGAAATTATTTGAATGTTCATTTCACAAGATATAGAAGCATTTTTATAATGAATACCAGTTACATTAAGGCCAATCAATAAAATAAATAATAAACTAATGGAACATTCTAATGTAACCTCAAATCACTTGCTCTGATGTCATGTTGCATGTGTATTAAATCGTCATTTCTAAACTTGTGAAAAATCAAAATTTGAGGAGTGATTTTTAAATGCACAAAAGAAGACTGCCTTAGAAAGAAACAGATTCTTGGTTATTTCTGTTTTACAAATACCAAAAAGTTTACAAGCCCGTGTTTTAATCCCATTTTTCTCACACACAAGAAGAACCCAGGAGTAAAGTGAGCTGAATCAGCATCATTACTCAGCCTAGTTTTCAAATCCATGCTCTGTGATTAATGGGTGGTTTTCAGGTTATTTACAGTGTGATGGAAAGAAAACTGAGCAGGAAAGGAGTGGTAGTTTTTCTTAGTACAAGTCCTGCCTCTAAAATGCTGGGTATACTTGAGCTAGCCATTAATATGTTTAGATCTCAGTTTTCTTTCCACTTCATGATGACCATAGCAAATGTAACTGAATTCCCTAAGTGCTGTGAATATTAGTTGGTGCAAAAGTAATTGCTGTTTTTGCCATTAAAAGTAATGGTGAAACCAGCATTACTTTTGCATCAAAGTAATAACTTCCCAGAGCATCCTGACCACATGTTGCTAACTTTCTACAGATAATTTTTGGTGACCACTTTCCTTTTTGTTTGTTTGTTTGGGATTTTTCTTCTTTTTGTTGTTAGTTTTTGGGTTGTTTTTTTACTTTTTTGAGACAGGATCTCACTCTCTCTCCCAGGTGCAATCATAATTCACTGGGCTCAAGCAATCCTTTCACCTCAGCCTCCCAAGTAGCTGGGACTACAGGCCTGTGTTACCATGCCTGATTAATTTGTTTGCTTATCTTTTTTTAGAGCCAAGATTTCACCCTGTTGCCTTGGCTGGTCTCAAACTCCTGAACTCAAGCAGTCCACCTGCCTCAGCCTCCCAAAGTGTTAGGATTCCAGGCATGAGCCTCCATGCCCAGACTATGAGCACTGTTTCTGTGAAGAAAGATTACACTTGCAACTCCACAAGCAGAAGAGGATAGTAAATATAGAAGTCCCCTCTTCTCTGTGGTATCCATTACCTTCAGTTAACAGTAGACCAAAATCCACATATTCAGTACAATAACATATTTTGAGAGAGTGAGGGAGATCATATTTACATAACTTTAATTACAATATATTGTTGTAATTGCTCTAGTTTATTATTAGTTATTGTTAATCTCTTACCATGACTAATTTGTGAATCAAACTTCATCATAGGTATCTATGTATACTAAAAAACATAGTACATATGTGGTTTAGTACTATTTGTGGTTTCAGTCATCCACTGGGTGTCCTGAAACATGTTCTCCAAGGATAAAGGAGGAACTATTGTATATCAATTCATTTGGTTTCTACTCAAGTATATTGATAAGAGTTTTGGTGGCAGCAACAGTTGAAGTTATTAAATGAAATTAATGTTTATGAATTTATGTTGATCTTAGTGATTATTGTTGATCAAGAACTGAGAATATTTAAAGTGAAAATTAGAGATAAAACAAACTTTTGAAAGTCAAAATGTTGCATATATTCTCCCCACACTATAAAATTAAACACATGACAGGTAGATTAAAGCAATGAATGTAAAAAAATATAGAAAACTAGAAATAGCAGAAGCAAATGTATTTTTTTATTTCATAAATAGAAAATTTTGGGATTGGGGGAAGATGGCCGGCTAGGAACAGCTCGGGATTGCAGCTCCCAGTGAAAGTGCAGAGGGTGAGTGGACACTGCATTTCCAGACGGATTTTTATTGCCCAGAGACCAGGAGATTCCCAGGCGGAGGAGCCCCACTGGTCGCCAGCGCGGCTGTTTCAGCTAAGAGGTCAGTGTGCCCTCTTAGCTGGTGATTGGAGCCCTGAGATGGCAGAGTCACCCGGTCATCTGAAATAGCGAGCCAGACCAGGAGATCCTAGGCAAAAAAACCATCAGGAATCTCAGCACCACTGTTTCAGCCAGCTCAGTGAGTCGCGGCACAGGAGATCCCGGTGCCTTCTCAATAGGCAACTGGAACACTGGGAGAGTTGACCGTTCAACAACAACAACAACAAAAGACTCTGAGTCAGGGAGCCAGGTGATCAGGCTCTGCTCGTCCCACCCCACCCCCAACAACAACAACAAAAAAAAGCAGTAATTGAAAACGCTCTGGGTTGAGAGTTTCACAGCAAGCACAGCTGAAACTGGGACGGTCCGGCTCTGTGGGGGAGGGGCGTCCGCCATAACTGAGACACTCCACCAATACAGAGGCAGTCTCACCATCGCTGAGGCAGCCCGCCACTGCTGAGGCAACCCGTCATTGCTGAGGCAACCTGCCACTACAGAGATAGTCCACCATAACAGGAGCAGGCCACCATTGCCAAGGCAGGTCTAACTACACCCATATAAACAGGACCACAGGGAAGATAACATGGCAGCTGGGCGGAGCCCACAGCAGCTCAGCAAAGCCTCTGCAGGCAGAGAGTGACTAGGCTGCCTCCTCGCTGGGCAGGGCAGCCCTGAAAGAAAAAAAAAAAGGCAACAGCACAATGGAAACTCATATATAAAGCCGTAACTCCCTGGGACAGAGCATCTGGGGAAAAAAAAAAAAAAAAAAAGGGAGTTTACGAGTTCTGCTGCAGCAGACCTAAACGTACCTGCCCAGGAACTCCCAATGAACAACAGAGTTCACAGCTCAAGACTTCAGCTCCAATAAAGGACAGACTGTCTGCTCAAGCAGCTCCCTGACCTCTGTATATCCAAAGAGTCACCTCATAAAGGAGAGAACAGACTGACATTTGGCAGGCATCCTTCTGGGACAAAGATAGAAGAAGAGGAAACTGGTAGCAGCCCTTACCGTTCTGCAGCTGCTGCAGGTGGTCCCTCGGCAAGTAGGGCCTAGAGTGGACCTCAGCAGTCCTACAGCAGAGGGGCCAGACTGTAAGAAGGAAAGCTAAGAAAAAGAAGTAACTTCAGCATCCACAAACTGGAAGTTCACTCAGAGACCCAATCTGAAAGTCAGTAACTACAAAGGCAAAAGGGGGATAAACCCACAAAGATGTAAAGAAACCATCGCAAAAAGGATGAAAACACCCGAAACCAGAACACCTC